AGTAAGGCACTTGTTACTAGTAGCGATGCACTTGTTCCTAACAAGTAAGAAGGCTAAGGCGCATATGGCAAAAGACCCTTCTCTTCAGCATAGCACTCCAGGTATTTTCTGAGCTCTGCAGATTTTGGGAAGTCTGGGGCCTCCTTCGGCCAAGGAAAATCTGAAAAGGCAACTGTGTACCTCAGTCAAATGGAGGGATTGCAGGAGCAACTTCAAAGAAGGAAAAGCTGCTTAGTCATGAGAATTGGCAATAAACATGACTCTGTGATGTTTTCAAACAAATCTACCGAAAGAGACTGAAACCAGTAATGCGGGCCTAGACTTAAACTCAAGTGCTTGGAGTGCCCAGACACTTGGAGAGGTTGGTCCGCAGTGAGTGCCACACCTTGAAAATCAGGTGCAAAGAAGAATGAAAGCTACGGGTTCAAAGAATACGCAAAGAACAAAGGCTGAAGCCGACATTGCAGATATGCAGCCTCTCACAATCTCTTGCATCTTTGCAGGGCTTTGCAAGGGAGAATGTACCTAACTCAAAGGGGCCAGCCTTGCCCTGCTCCGTCCAAAGACCACCGATGGACTGTTGCTTCTCAAAAACCATAGGTGTCAGGTTTTCCTGGTGACAAAACAAAAACCAACGATGGGGACAATCTACTACATGCTATCCTATGGACATAGATATATATATATAATATATATACATAAAAGGAAATAAAAGAACACCTCCATCTGTTGAGTATTGAAAACACGTTAAAGTCTTTCATGAGCTTGAAAATAGATCTGCTGGGTCAGCACTCCTCCAAGGCCGCCTTGCAAGCTGTAAGCCCTGAAGGTCCCGCACCCAAGATGGCCACATCAGCCGTCCGTAAGCGCTTTGACAAGTTCATCATGCTGGAGAGTTTGCGTGACTCAGGGTATTGTGTTTTCTGTTGCCATGCATTCTCTATCAAACTAGCAATGTGCTCCTGGACGAAGCCTTTTGCTGCAAAGAAGATCAAAGAAGTCATGTCCGTTTGGTTAGAATGTGCACTGACAATGAAGTCCAAATTGTAAACAGCAAATTCCAAACTCTGCATTCCCATCGAAAACCATGTCTAGGATGCCTATTCGACAAGGCTGGTCTAAACAATCGTGGCTGCCAAGTGTGGACAGGTTCGTCAGAGAAGCACGGCAGGCCGCATGAAATCGACTTGTATGATTTTCCTCGAGGTGAATGGCCATTTCTTTGCTTCGGCCTCCGCGTTTCGCCGTCGATCTAGATTCTCATCCTTATGCGAAGGACCGCCTCACATTGGAGCTGGCCAAAGGCGAAAGGAGAGAAAGAGACCACGAAAGAAGGGGGAGAGAGAGAGAGAGAGCATCTAGTGGACTGACTAAATGGATTCCAAGAATTCAACCCACTGTCCCACTGTCCTGGCCTATGGACAAGAGAGCATCAAAAGTGTAGGTCTCAAGACCCACCTCACATGAGTTCCCTTAAAATCAAGAAACCACATGAACAGTGCAAACAGGCAACATCATGTCCAGTAACTTTTTGTAATAGCGATGGCCTCTGGCCTCCAACCTACTAGCAATGGCCTCCAACCTAACATGCTGCATCTTACCGTCTTTCTTTTGCATCGAAACGTCCTTTCTTTTTCTGCACAGCAGCATGAAAGTGTTTTTCTAATCCGTGCGAGCGCTTCTCCAAGGAAGCTCGCGTCCTAGCTAGTCGCAGGTTACCTGGTTGTTTTGTTTAGCCACTTGGTCCTTACTTATATACAGTAATTAAGCAGGCACTCATGATATATGTAAGAGCGGGCTAAAAATAAAGAGAAAGAAGAGGTGCCGGATTTCTGAAGTTGTAAACCTGTCCATTCTGGCAATCAACCTGTCCATTCTAGCACCACAAAGACTGATAAATCCTGTCACAACTCACAACAGAAGTGGATTCAATCCTGCTGAGAAATTGTTGAACCATCATGTTGTTTTGTCATGTGCAATTGTATCAAGATCAAGAACTCAAGCAACCCAAATCAATCCGCAACTTCTTCATGGTAAAGAGGGAGATGGAGTGTGAACTAAAGAAGTTTATGAGCTTGGATTTCGCACCATTCAGGAGTTAAACTCTATGTGCTGTACCAACATAGAGTTTGCGCGTCTTTCCAACTTTGCAACATCCTTCTAACAGTAGACATCGCGCTGTAGCGTTTCCTGCCAAGGAGCCAAATGCAGTTGTCGCCAGAGTTCCTTTTTCATGGTCGCATCATCTGTGCCTGAGAGGACCGGAAAAGAAACTTGCAATCTTTCGAGATGGTCAGGAGCCGTTGATCTTCTCAGTCAAAGAAAAAGGTAGATTTAAAAAAAGAAAGTGTGCCATTAGGTGGAGGCCATCGCTCTTAGGTCCGATTCTTAGCTGCACATATTCTGCATCTCGTCCGCTGATGGCACCGGACACAAGAGAACACTGCTGCACTCCAGGCTTCGGCAAAACCTCGGTACACAATGACACAACACATCAGCCAACTGAAAGTGTATCGTGGGAGTGTCGGAAAGTCGACATAGTTCTCTTTGCATAGTTCTCTTTGAGCGGCTTTGGCTCATAAGGTGTATTTGCTGTCAAACCTCCATCTTGCTCAAAAACCTATTTCAACCTTTCTCGGATGCACACGACTTAAATCTGCCCTATGTTACCTATGTAAGCATCCTTAATGAGAGAGAGCAGGCGCCTTGCCAAAGACTTCTCCAAGGCCAAACGACCTGATCCTGATAAAGCTACACAAACAGCCTCAAAGCATTCTTGAATCATTCAACCCCCTTTGAGACACCAATCCTGAAATTGCATTTGTTACGGTACGTTGCACCACCAACTACTTAAACAATCTTAACAATCCGGCAACATTGTGCGTAGCGAAGTGAGATTGGAGAGTCAACAGCCGCTCCCAAATATTCTGCAAGTTCCTGCTACTGATCTGCAGTATCCTCTCAAATCACTCTGGACCAAGCAACGCCAAGATCTGTGAGAGGATTTCAGGCAGAGGCAAATCATTTGACCTACATGCAATGATTTCAGGTAGCAAAAAACCATGTCCGAAGCATCAGTGATCAACCGCTTCAAAACCCCGCCCCCAGCAGCATCTACAGCCTGCAGGGGCCCATTTTATCTGCTCGTCTTTAGAGCACGCTCCAGCAGCCGCATTTGCCGCCAAAAATCGTGTGAAACGGCGGCTCCCACACGGGACACAGCACTGCAAACAGCAGGTCAATAGCTCATGCTCATGAGTTTCAGCCGCCACCAGGCCCCAATGCATCTTCTGGAGCAACATGTACATTAAACCATTCTTTGGAATGGTTTGTTAAAACACAGCACTGGCCCAAACCAACGCCTGAAATATCTCATGTCTGCTCTTGAGTCACTTGAGCCTTTGGCTCTTCAGTCAGGGTTCCAGCGACTTTCTCATCCTGCAGGGCTGGGACTTTCTCATCCGTTCAGCTAATCGAAGGCATCGGAAAAATGAAGAAAAACAACCGGGAACCTTGTTAGGGTTCCTGCCTGCACCAGGCAGACCCGTGTTTCATGCTGGGCTTTGCACACCTGCTTTGGAACTAAGGGTGCGGGGCCAGAGTGGGGCTGTGCACAAGGATTATCTCGTTCACGTACTACTATTGCTATTCTTACAAACTGGGCACGCTCCTCGAATGAGCAAAAGTTCTTTGTGGATCTCCCAAACTTCTTTGAGATCATTTTTGCAGCCTGTCCATGCACTGCAGAGTAATTCCTTCATATGTACGGTATATGATGGTACATTGGTTGCTAATGACGTGCACCCTCTTATGATCTTCCCAAGTAGCACACCATGTCTGTAGCCAGAATTTTTGACAAGGAGCGTCTAGAACCTACTCAAATCATCCCCATCCCAAGTCCTTCTGACGACTAGGTTCATCCGGCAACTCAGCCTGTTCAATTTTCTCCTGGTGGTCGAGAGTTTGGCAAACTCAGAGGCAGACTGCAGACTTGTCAAATCTTGACTGCCAAATGCTGGGTTAGACCCCTTCGGCATGCAACCTGGCAATCTTGGGTTGCTGGACTTTTTGGCATCAAATGCATTCAAACACTACAAATCTTGTGAGGCAAAATTGTCATCATTGGATCTAAAAGGGAGCCCGCAGTTTGACACCCCATGGGTTCATTCCCTTGATCAGTTCTTTGTGCGGTTCTATTTCACATTGAAGCATCTTCGGAAGAACTGATCCTAAAATGATACAATGAGAATTATAGTAGATGTCAAATGGATGATGTTTGAATGATATCAAAGTGACAAAAAATAACATTTAATCTTCTCGACATTTCCAATTCTTGGATATCACTACCCACGCGAGTCTGAAGCGAACGACTCGATGAACTCAGAACTATATAAGGCAACTATGTCCTTTCTGAAAAAGAACCAAGAAGCAGAAAAGTATCTGTTGACAAAGAACTAACTACTCCTGCAACCAAAGTCCCTTTAACAACTCTCCTCATATTATATTTAGAGACCTTTTTGTCAGTTTGATCAAGAACGCTCTCTCTTATGACGCCAAGGCACCAGAATGCTGTCGAACTCCTTCCGTGTGAGCTCCTTTCCCAGCGCTTTGGCTTTCAACTCTTGCGCCATCTCTTCAACCCAAACGATCTGCCAGCCCTTCTGGGCAGCCATCTCCTATTGACAGAGGAGCACTTGCTGGTGGAGTGGCAGTGTATTGAGGCCATTCGTGCAACTGCTACACAGATGTGTGCGGATATGATAATAGTGAATAAAGCATCCTTCTCCGGATCTCCCCCCACAGTCAAGACTTCAGGTTACACGCTTTTGTCGAATCTTCTGCCAATATCGTAAACTGGACTCCGTGCAAGTGCATATGCTTTGGAAGGACCTGCCAATGATTGGACTTAAGCCAAAACGTTGCCTGTTGCTAGCTAAATGAAACCAGAGCCAGCACATTGTGTCTTGGCATGATGCTCTGGGAATGGAATTTGTTGCGCTTTGCATGAGTCCCTAGAGTCCCTACACCATTTCACAGGGTAATCTCAGGTATCCTGGTCAGGTTGACCTTCCAAAAGTTAGCTTTCTCCTCGTACTGCGACTTTCTGGCTTTGTGCCGCTCGTTGATGACAATGCGCTCCACATTCTTGGTTAGATCTATCTCTCCGTGGATCTGTACTTCCTTGTATTTGCCTGGGCTTTTGAGCGTGTGGTAGGCAAGGGACGACTTTGGATTTCATTCGCTTCAACCAGCCAGCAAACAGGTGTCCAGCCAAATCCTTCAATCCAAACCCAATACAAATCGTTTGGGTCCACTTGGGCTCAGACTCCTTGGACTCTTTCCATCAAAACCTCTCTGTTCCTCTCCATTTTGCATCTTTTTTCATGACCAAGACACCCCAGTCGTGGCAAAGGGCCTCAGAATCTCCCAGTTTCTCGTGGCCATGCCGTGCCAACTTCACCTCGAACTTGCGGCGTTATGTGTGACACACTGTGATGTGTGTATATATAATAGTTGTATACTCCGTGTATAATATATATATATACATACGAGAGTGTGTGTGTGTGTAAATCCGTATATCTATATATAAATATGGGGGGTACCATATATATATAAATATATATGTGTATACTAACGTAGGGAAAGATAGAATGCGGTGGCGAAGTCCAGAGCATTTTCCCCAGAAGATAGAATGAGCCTAAAAATAGTCTTAGAATGCCACAACTTAGAATGTCCCATTTTTGAAAGAGGTTCCACTGAGAATAAGCAGTCAAAACACAGATAGAATGCACATACATTTGACGTACATTTGAATATGCACGTATATAATCACATATATAAAAAAAGAAAAGCACGCAAAACACACACATATATGTATAGGCACATAGGTTTCTAGAACTGATAGACAATATCAGCAAAAAACAACACTCACAGCTGACAACTTGGTCACCCTCTGCTGGTGGTCCGGCTCAGGACACGCCACATGTAGACACGTATATTCATACAAATAAACACACTCTTGGCATGGCGCTTCCACAAGAGGTATGATGTGAGTGGATCCTCGTTTGCCAGGGTCCTTGTGCGTGTGTTTTGCTTTGCTTGAGTGCGCGTTTCCTTGCAAGCTAGTTACAACAGACTCCAAATCAAGGCTTGCCCCTTTTTCTGGTCAACACGTCGGAAGCGTTCACACAGCCAGTGCACAGTCATTCCACAGATAGAATGCCCATAGAATTGCACGCATGTGTATATACATATGTGGGCAGAAGATTTGTGTACATAATGTTTGGTTTCTGCTGGTGCTAGCAAACTTGTTTGAAAGGACTCCAAATCAAGGCTTGCAACTTTTTCTTATCAACGCGTCGGAAGAGTTCACACCGCCAGTACACAGTCATTCCACAGATAGAATGCCCATACAACTGCACGCATGTGTACATATGTGGGCAGAAGATGTGTGTACATAATGTTTGGTTTGTGCTG